AGGAAGAGTGCGGCTGAATAATGCAAGTGATGGGTTGACTATGATAACATCGTGGCTGGGAATTGGGAAAGAGGTGTTGGAGTGGGGTTGGAGGATGTGTTACTGGAAGGGAGGGGACTTGGATAGAGGAAAACAACCTGGGAGAAATAAGGAGTTGTGGGAACAAAGACGAGTAGTAGTGGGCTGACGGGATGCAGGAACAGCGGTAGTCAATAGGTCTAGCAGCGACAGTAGGGGGGACAGCTTGGAAGGAGAGGGGAACGGGTTGCTAGAAGGGCGGGTGGAGGGTAAGGTTGGGGAAGATAATCACCACCGGGGGGAATAGAGATACAGCCAGAGCACCACCCTTTTCGTCAGAAAGGATCCTCAAGGGGAAAACAGGACGTCGGTAACTGTCCTCACAAACTGAAATCAGAAAATAACATAAGTTGAAACTCTAAGACCTAAAAACAAAAATAAATAGAATAGGGATGGGCGGGAAATGAAAGCAGAAAAGAGGGGAAATTCCCGCCTAATGAAAAGAGGAGAGAGGGGGTCGGTTCAACCCCCTCTCTCAACTGAACAGGTTCGGGCCAAAAACAGTTCAGCTTTTGGAAAAAAAACCTCATGTCAACATACTGTCAAGGCTGCCACTGTTAGAAGAGGTCTGATCTGTCTTCACTTCAAAGAGAAATGAGCCAACCTTAAGTTATTTTTAGAGGACTCTGCAAAGTACATAGGCACAAAGTTCTAGTTCAATTCAGCAAGGCACCCACAAATGGACTAATAGAGATGGTTACTCGTAATTTGGAAAACCTTCTAAGGTGTTTTGCAGGACAGCAATCCAATAATGGGATCCAGATAGTTCTAGAGATGCAGCCAAAGATCCTTCATTCTCAGGAGATTACAACATTTTCATTTCCTCCAATGGGGTCAAGCTGGCTACATACTATGATGAGGCAGATGATATCGAGGCTCCCCTAACCCAGCGAGACTAACAAGGGCATCTATACCTGGACCGATTCGATTCAGGTTTCCTGAGGGTCGAGCCTTCTAGTTATCTTGGGAGAGCAGCCCAATTGGAATTTGCTGTGATTTGTTTTGGGACAATCATCAGCATCTCCTTTTTCCTCTACGGGTAGTATCCTAGGATTCCAAGTGGTGCTTCAATTGTATCTTGGTCTCCATGTGGTGCTTCAATTGTATCTTGGTCTCCATGTGGTGCTTCAATTGTATCTTGGTCTCCATGTGGTGCTTCAATTGTATCTTGGTCTCCATGTGGTGCTTCAGTTGTATCTTGGTCTCCATGTGGGGTTTATCCCTCCTATACCTTTCTTCCACCCTTTTCCACATTGCTTTCACATTCCCTTCATTGTTTGCTCGTTGTCCTTTCCTTCCTCCTTGTTGTCGCCACCCAAAACCGCCAACTACCACAGATATTCCTGTTGTCGGTCCGCCATTGTTGTCGGTCCGCCATACGGACCATTAAAAATTGCCTCCTTGCTCTTCCTGCTTATCCCACGCCTCTTTCCACCATCTTGGAGATCCAAACCCCAACTAGCACCACTTATATGCTAGATCCAGCCACACTTCTTGTGTTTTGTTGTTATTTTATTGTAGTTTCAGATTTATCTATTGTTTGTTGTAATTTCAGATTTTGGATTCAGAAATGATATTTGTTTTTAATTAGGTGTTTACTAAATTCTAGTATCAAAATCCCTCACGCAATAAAATATAATTTGTTTACCAAGATTATTCACCAACTTGCAATATATCCAAAAGTTAACTACATATTAAAAATAAAATGATGTATTCTACCCTTCAGAGTATGCATTTTAAGAAATGGACTCAAGTGAGGCTATTGAACTTGCTAAAAAAGACATGGTCTCAACCACCTTGAGAAATATCATAACCAAGAAAGCACCAATCTACTTAATGTATTATCTATCCTTTTAAAGCATTTAAATTCAATAAGAAAAAGTTGTACTCCAATAATTAACTACATCTTAGTCATCCTTCTTTTATAATTCTCAAAAATAAATCTACTTTTTGATTCAAAAAATTTATTATTGAAGAGCTTCATATGATACTTGTGAAATAAATCAATAAGCAATGCAAAAATTCAACTATTTTACTCTCATTCACAATTACATATGGGGACCATCCTCTATACCTAATAACATGGGGCTCGGTGGTGGCTTGTGCCCTTTATTAGCGATAGCACTCGTGTGCCAAGAATCTTTCTAGTGGAGGTAAAAGTGCTCATCTTCTTTTCCATCTGTTTTCAACATGTTCAAAAGACAATTCAATTTTGAAATTAAGAGAATCGGATCTAAAAAAACATACTTTTTTTAACTATTATCTCTTATTTATATAAAAAAGAAGAAAAATCCATAAGTTCTCTGAGGTATACAAATCTCAATAAAATAGAGTCAGAGATCTCATTTTTCAAGAGAATGATTCAAATCAAACTTGGGGTAAAGCTATCTTAATAGCAACTTACATTACAAACCAATCATATACATGAGTCCATGGATTCAAGAGTTCCACTCAAATCTTAACCAATTTTTTTCTTTACTTAAACTCCTTACATAATTTTGTTTCCAAGATATTTGAAAGTGCGCCTTTGTTCAGGCAAGTCCTCAAAATAAAGAAAATTTTAATCCATGAGAAATTGAATTTGTTTTTATTAGCTAGAACTCTCACTCAAAAATATACAAATACTATCATGTCCCAACAAGAAAGGTGATGTGATGCTTATGTCACTTTCAATAAAGAGCATTTCTAATTTGTTGCTACTTTCCCCTCAAAAAACAAAATCATTCACAAATGAATTCTTTCTCTAGATTGCCCATCCATTCTCATCCCAGAAAACAGCTCCATAACAAGCTGCTGCTACAAAGATCAGGCAAACCCAGCAAAAGAACAAAACATGGTGATGACATATTTGAAAGGCATATAGCCAGACTAGTGGCAAATTTTCACACTCAAATATCGGCGATCAATTATCTTGAAACTTGTACTCATTCCAACATGAATATTATTCGAGTTTTGTTATCATTAGTTGCAAATAAGAAGTTAAAAATATAACCATTCCACATAAAGAATGCCTTCTTATACCATGATATCAAGAGTGAGTTACATATGGTGGCCCCACTGGGGTTTGACTAAAACACAGGCATTATATTTATTGCAATAATCTCCATGAGTATAATTTGGGAGGTTCGGTAATATAATGCTCAGCATGGGATACAAATAGAGTAAATGTCACCATAATTTGTTTGTGCAATACACGGTACCAAGGGGGAGTCTCCATATTACTAATTTACGTTGACAGCATCATCGTGACATGTAACAGCTTAAAAGGTATAGAGACTATACAATAAAGAAGAGAGTGCTCTAGGAATTTGAAATCAAAGAATTATATAATCTAAAATAATTCAGTCAATAAGGTTGCATGCTTTTGATATAGGATATTTATGTCACAATAGAAACAACAAATGTATTGAAAAAACACACATGTACGGATGCAATCATGTAAAGAACTCCATGAAAACTAAAAATAAATTTGGTGATGCTTTAGAAGCAGTCATAGTTCTTACCAAAAATTTATAGAAAAAATTATCTTTTTATCACACACTAAATCTGACTTGCTTATGTACTTGGTGTGATAAGATTATTTATTCGTAATCCTAAGGAAACATAATTTGGTGCTACACATCAAATTTTACAATGCTTGAAAGGAAATCCATGAAAAAAAAATTAATTGAAAGGAAGACTGAGTTGACTCTTGAAATATACATATATGCCAATTATCCAATATATATTATTAATAGATCAATTTTAAAATATTTCACATTCTAACAACTTCGAGATTTGAAAAAATAAAAACAAAATATAGTCGCGAGATCTAACACAAAAACCAAATTTATATTATAGCACTAAAAATCTATAAACAATTATGCAAAAATATACACTAGAAGAATTGAGGGTTGAACAAAAAAAAAATCCTATGATACTCTGCTGTGATAACAAATCAAAAATCAAATTTGCACATAATTAACCTAACAAAACAATTTGAAGGGTATCAGCAATTTCAAAACAGAGAAGCTCAATAGTGATCTAATATCTACATTCATCATCATAGAAAGCCAACTTACAAGCATTCTCTTCAAAGGATTATCAAGGATGATACTTCAAAAAGTTGAGTTGACATGCAAGTGTAGAATAGAAAACATCAATTCCACTTCCATCAATGTTCCATCCAGCCCAACAGCCCACCTTTCTTATTCACTTTGTACCACATCAGTGATCCATCATACTAGTACCATCACCTAATTAATTCAAAAATTATTGTAATAATTTACATTCATCAAGTCATTGACTATTGTAATTATTCTTCCTTAATTTTGTATGCTCCCAATAAAAATCTCTCCTGGAAATACATAAAAACTGCCAAATAAAATTGAAATGAAATACACAATATCCAGTGTTTGTTGCAAACAAACCAACTTTAACTTTAAAAGTTTAGTCCTCATTTAAATTCCGCTCTTTTTTGCATAACTCAATTTCCTGTGCATTCTTCTAAGTATTAATTCCTTTCAAATAACCTCTAAATGATATTAGTTCTTTGTAGCTTTTGCATCAACAAATACATTATTCAAGACACATTTTTGTTTTTTAATTAGTATTATGCTGTATGGCTATGATTATCATTTTAAAAAAAAAGAGTAAATTCAAACTCAATAAGACAGACTTGGAAATTCTAAAGAACGATCTTCCTAATGTCTGACAAACTAAAAAGCTCATAGCCTACAGATTGGAATAAATTCCAATCTCTTAATCGATGAAGCATTTCACTGCAAGTTGACCAGAGCATGAAAGCAAATATACAAGCTTATTTTAATGTGTTAGTGTAAACAGAAAAGAATTTCATTTCGTGATACTATTGCTCATAAGAAAAGCAACAATCTTATTAACATGGTGATAATGCAAGCTAAGATTGTGTACATGCAACATACCTGAGGGTCGGTCAACTTTGTTCAAAAGGAGAATAGGGCGTAGCCCATACTTTAAAGCTTTTGCAAGAACAAATTTTGTTTGTGCAAGTGGGCCCTCCCCAGCATCAACAACTAACACGGCTCCTTCAACCATCCCAACAACTCGTTCAACCTATAACGAACAATTTGCAGTTACTTACTAACCCCATAAATAATTTGAATCAAATGATCATAGACAACATACTTCCCCGCCAAAGTCAGCATGGCCAGGAGTATCAACCATATTGAGTTCAATGTCATTCCATGTGATCGAAGTAACCTACAGCAACGAAGCTAATCTCAGTGCAAGTAAATCAAAAGACTAATCATCAAATCCATGGCAGGTATTTAATAACATGGCCAAACCATTATAGTCCACAATATTTTCAAGCAAGAAAGAATTAGGAGCTTAAGTTGACTATTGTGTATAATGAACAACTAGATACTCATTTGTTTAAGACTCATTTATATTTGTCTGTTGGACAAGATTGAATAAGATTTTAAAAGATTGACATATAAATGAGCAACTTGAGCACTGATTTGTTCATTTATTTGAATTAATGCACATAATTTATTATTTGTCAATAACTGGCTCATTTAAGATTTCATAACGTGCCCATATAAAAATATGGGGTGGCTTAATTTTAATTTAAAACTGACTTTATATTTTTTTTATCAACTTACTTCATCCTATGTGTTTTTGAAATGTAATATTTTGACCCAAAAAAAAAATGAATCCTTTGATCAAATAGCTAGAAGATTCAAATTAACTTTAACTGTACTTTTCATAAATGTTTTTATGTGCAAATATGTATGTATACACACACACATATATAATGTGAATTCAACTATGTTAATTTTGATAGAGAAAAATGATCGAATAGCTCTGCAACCAATCTAGGCTGTGTTCAGTTTACCTTAGATATTTTTTTATTCTCCGACATAGTCCATCAAATTATAAAAAATGCAAATTTAAGGGATCAAAAGAGCCAAGATAAATGACCAAGAAAGCGAGAACTTTAAAGAGAGACGACAACAAAGCCTTAATCCCACTACATGGGGTTGGCAACATGAATCATTTTTCTCCATTGCGTCCTATAAGTGTCATATTTTCAATTAGTTCGAATAAATTAAGATCATTTTTTATATAATAAGTCCAAGACTTCCTAGATCTACATCTGCCTTTCTTAACATAAGTCGAATCTAAAACATCTACTCTCCTAATCCGGACATTAGATGGTCGACGTTTAATGTGACCAAACCATCTAAGATGACTTTCTCTAATTTGTCCATCACAGGAGCTACACCAACCCTATCATGGATAGATTCATTTCGCATTTTGTCTCTAAGTGTAAAGTCCCTCATCCACCTAATCATTCTTATCTCGACAACACTTAACTTAGTATTATGCTTCTCTTTTAAAGGTCAACATTTAGTGTCATAGAGTATTGCAGGTCTCACCCCCATCTTATAAAATTCTCCTTTCAGTCTGAGCGGTACTTTTCTATCACAAAAATGCCCAAAGCATTCCTCCACTTCAAACAACCAACTTGAATTCTACTATTAACATGCCCATCTATATCAACATCGCCTTGAACAACAGACCCAAGATATCTAAATCGTTCACACATTTTATAATTTGATCACCCAAAGTTACACTTCTATCACTAGAGCTACTACTAAAATTACATTTCATGCATTCAGTTTCAGTTCTACACAAATGAGGCCTTTAAACTCCAATGTAGACCTCCATAATTCAAGTTTTTCTCGGGCTTTTCCTCTTGTTTTATCCACGAGAAGGATATCATCAGCAAAAAGCATACACCAAGGTACATCCTACTGTAAATGCCCAGTAATAACATCCATAACTAAAGCAAAAAAATATGGCCTTAAAGCCGATCCCTGATGTAATCCAATAGAAATAGGAAAATACTTGGTCAATCCTCCTTCAGTTTGAACACGAGTAACAGCTCTAGTATATATATCTTTAATAATTTGAATATAGGTCATATCAACATCTTTCTTCTCAAGAACTCTCCAAATAATATCTCTTGGAACCTTATTGTAAGCTTTTTCTAAATCAATAAAAATCAAAGATAGATTCTCATTATTATCTCTGAACTTCTCTATCAAACCTCTCATTAAATGTATAGCTTCCATAGTAGACATGTCCGGCATAAATCTAAATTGATTATGAGAATTCCTTGTAATACATCTTAACCTATGTTCAATTATCATCTCCTATAATTTTAAAGTATGACACATCAACATAATTCCTCTATAATTTGCCGACTTTTGTGCATCCCCTTTATTCTTAAAAATGGGGACCAAAATACTCTTCCTCCACTCCTCATACATCTTTTTAGTTTTTAAAATAATATTAAAGAGTTTAGTAAGCCAAGAAACTCCAAAATCTCCTAAATATTTCCACACTTCAATTGGGAAATTATTAGGTCCAACAGATTTTCCACCCTTGGTTTTCTTTAAAGCCTCATCAACTTCTTTTTTATTAATGAAACGATAAAAATGAAATGTTTTATAATTATTAATGAAATTAAGATCGCTAAGATTGATCGTATTTTTAGAAACTTCATTAATAAGTTTATCAAAATAAATCACCCACCTATATTGAATATCTTTTTCTAAGAAAAGTACTTTTTTTATTTTCATCTTTAAAACACTTTACTTGAGTTAAATCTTTACTTTTTTTTTCTCTTTATTTGAGTAGTTTATATATATATATTGTTCACCCTCCTTAGTTTCTAATCTATTACAAAAATCATTAAAAGCATATATTTTAGCATCACGGATTGTTCTTGTAGACTCCCTGTGGGTCGTTTAATATTTTTCTCTGTTCTCTAAGATTTTACATTTAAACCAATTTTTAAAGCATAACTTCTTATCCTTTATCTTTTTTAGCACATTATTATTTCACCACCAATTATTTTTATTTATAAAAAATTTTTCTTTTGATTCTCCAAGTATAACTTTTGTTACTTGTTAAATAGTATTTGTTACTTTAGACCACATAACATTTGCATCTTCATGAACATCCCAAATTTTGAAATCTTGAATTTTACTTATAAAAATAATTTTATTTGTATCTTTTAAGTTCCTCCATCTGATTCTACGAAGATGAATCCTAGTATTCTTTATTTTACAACTCTTCATCTTAAAAAATAGAACTAGTAAACGATGTTGGGTACTTAAATCCTCACTTGGAATGATCTTACAATCTTTATAATCTCGATGATCTCTTCTTCACATAAAAAAATAATCAATTTGTGTTTTAGTAGATCTATTCTTATTAGTAATAAGATGCTGATCTATTTTCTTGAATAAAGCATTAGTAATAACAAAATCATATGCTAAAGCAAAATTTAAAATAATTCTACTTTCTTCATTAGTCATTCTAAAACAGTACTCACAATGAATATTTTTGAAATCTTCTACCACTCTACCAACGTGTCGATTCAAATCTCCTCCAATAAAAGTTTTTTCTTTAAGATGTATCATTTGTAGTAAGTTTTCTAAGTCATTCAAGAATTTATCTTTAAACCCTATATCTAAACTTACTTGAGGAGCATAAGCAATTATAATATTAAAAATCTTAGTATTAATGATTATCTTAAGAGCTATAACTTTATCTCCAATTATATTAATTTTGACAATATTATATTTCAAACTCTTATCTATAATTACACTTACATCATTTCTATTACAACTTTATCAGAATACCAAAATTTAAAACTTAAGTTATCAATCTCCTTGCACTTTTCTCCAACTCATTTAGTTTCTTGAATACATAAGATATTAATCTTTCTATGAATCATAATGTCAATTAATTTCATTAATTTACCATTGAGAGTACCAATATTCTAAGATCATATCCTAATATTAGTTTCATTAGTTTCATGGACTAATTTTTTTACCCGCAAACGTCAGTAATGTGGGAACTCTTGCTTATTTGACACAACACCCATGTGCCGGAGTAGCGGCCCTTGCACACTTTTCACTGTATTCAGACTCTACAGCGAGTCGCTTGCAGGAGACACCCTAGCACTTACACAATAATCAAAAGGAATCATGTCATGATTTTTCGACAACTTCTATGTTGGTTGTCAACTAGCTAACGCAACCATCCACTTTTCACATCCAAGCTTGGGACCAGCAATGACAATGTTAAAAAACTTTAAAGGCAGAATTATGAGAAAAATGTAGGGTCAAAATGAACACACTCTAAATATTTTGTGGACATAATAATTTTATCTTTTGATGAATAACTATGAGAGCCTTACGTTCAAAAATGAAGTTATATGTTTGGATACAACTAATGCAATTTAATTAGGTTTAGTTCAGTATTAAATACAACAACAACGAGCCTTTATCCCACTAAGTGGCGGCGGCTATATGAGTCATTTTCCTCCATTGCTTCCTATTGAGTGTCAATATTTTATTTAATTCTAATAATTTAAGATCATTTCTTATACAATATGCTCAAGTTCTTCTAGGTCTACTTCTGTCTTCTTTAACATAAGTCAAATATAAAACATTTACTCTCCTAACCGGATCATCAAATGGCCGACGTTTAATGTGACCAACCCATCTAAGACGACTCTCTCTAATTTTGTCTGCCACTGGAGCTACACCAACCCTATCACGGATATATTCAATTCGCATTTTGTCTCTAAGTGTCAAGCCACTCATTCATCTAAGCATTCTCATCTCGACAACTTTGTTTTATGCTTCTCTTTTAAAGGCCAACATTTTGTGTCATAGGGCATTACAGGTCTCACCACCATCTTCTAGAACTTTCCTTTCAGTTTAAGCGAAACTTTTCTATCACACAATAGACCCAAAGCATTCCTCCACTTCAATCAACCAACTTAAATTCTACTAATAACATCCTATCTATATCACCTTCACTTTGAACAATAGAACCGATATATTTAAAGCATTCACACCTTTTAATGATTTGATCACCCCTAGTTACAACTCTACCACTAGAGCTACTACGACTAAAATTACATTCCATGTATTCAGTTTTAGTTCTACTCAAAACCTTTAGACTCCAATGTAGACCTCCATAATTCAAGTTTTTCCTAAACTCCTCTAGTCTTATCCACAAGAATGATATCATCAGCAAAAAGAATATACCAAATTACATTCTCCTATCAATGTATAGTAAGAGCATCAATAACAAAAGCAAAAATATATGGGCTTAAAGCTGATGCCTGATGTAATACAACTGAAATAGAAAAATAATTGTCCAATCCCCCT